TTATGCACCTCTCAGAAAGTTAACGTTTTTCGACATCCCGAATTATAGTAAAGTTCAAGGAAGAAGTTTTTGACAAGGAGTTAGCATAATAAAAATATAAATCAACTACATAGTAAAAAAGTCGCACCCAAAAACATACATTGACCTTTTTTCCTTCCAGTTCACTGTTCTGGATAAGTTCAAGGAGATGTCCAACTGGCTTTCACTGAAAAATGTGCATGAACGTAGTTCTGAAACCCGTCTTCTTCTCGAGGGAGCAAGATTGCTATTGCATTGCACCACAAATATCATGGATTCCAGCTCCAGACGACTCCTCATGGGAAGTTTCTCAGGCAACTTTGATAGACGGGAAGAGGTATTTTAAAAAATAGTACATGTTGCTAAATTCAAGTGAACTTTACTACAACCATTTAATTTCTCAGAATTTTAAAGACGAAAATTTCAATAGAGCAAACGTGAAAAAGGTATTTCTAGGAGAGGGAATTTTACACCAACCTATTGACCCATGTTGACGAGATTTTTTAATCTCGCCAGACTGATCAAAGTAGAAAAGAAGAGTCTAGAAAACGATAAGATAAAAGAATTAAAGGGAAAAGCTCTTCCTTTCTTTTTCTAAAGGAAATTAGACAGGGCGTGATTACACACTGTATTCAAACGAACAAAGCAAAAAACGGAAAAGACCTTCAATTCTCTTTTATCAACAAGTAGAACGGTAAAGACTAGTAATACATCAGAAAGGCTCAGCCAAGGCATTGCAAATCGAAAATTCGAATATCCGCTGAGCCTACAAATATGTTAATTCCTAAGTAAGAGAGAGGGAAATTGAAGGTTCTATTTTCCTTTTTTTAAGTTTTAGAAATCTCCATCTCCTTGTTCCTCCTCTTCCCAAGGATTCCTTCTTGTTCTATTGGTAATGAATGAGAGTAGCATTAAAATTTTTTATAATATTAGATAACCATGGGAAAGACAATTTTGGCCCGTTGCCAGGAGCTGACAGAAATGACAACCAACATACTGCTATCGTTAAAGTTGCCTGGAGAAGAATACAGCACCATTCGCAATGGACTTCAATCGACGATGCTCGGAAAGCATGAATCAAATGACTTGAGCCTTTTAGAAATCATTGATGGAAAAACCAATTTTGTAATCCCATATCTGGATAGCAGAGCATTGAAAAGTTGGGTCGGCGACACCTCCGAGGTCGGGGTAGAGGTTTGTAACTTTTTCAGTTAATAAATCATAAAATTTGTGAGCCAATCACGGTAGATATCTATAAATTTGGTGTATGTTTTATATTTGACATGCTCATGGCAAAGAACTTTCCTAGAATCTCTCGGTTTTCCTTACAGGGCGGTATGTTAACCGAGTGATTTCAGGAAAAAGACTTAAACAACATTGAAAGATGCCACAGTATTTATTGTTAGCCACTTGATGATGGTTGCGCATCGTGACGCGAAATAAGTTCAAATCCTGAAAGGAGAAAAATATTTTTTATCACCCTGCGCTGTTGATAAATCTACAACCTCATCAATTTTATTTCCACATCCTTTCTAATGTCTCGCAGATGGTGAGCTATAATTTTAACCCATATGTGACGGACAATAGCAGCAGCAGAATAAGATCAAACGTTGTCAGCCTTGCCCTAAAGGACGGCACTGGGAGAGCTCTCAACACAGCTGACCTTCCCTCGAACATAGAAATTGACATTCCAATAACAAATTATGATCCCGTGAACAGCACCCGATCGGATCATTTTCTGAATCCTGGCAGGTTGCAATATCATGTGATAACCGTTGGTGAGGTCAACACCACCGTAAAATTGACCATTACAACTAAAGCAACAGCTTCTATTACTGTCTATGTAAAATTCGCTGAAAAGCCAACAGAGATTTCCTACGACGAGGTGATTCACTTATCCAAGGAGAAAACATCTATTAACCCCGATTGCGAATTACGAGAGAATTGCTCTTATACTATCGTCGTAAAGAGTAAATATGCAGGTAAATATTACGTTGGCTTATTGGGGAACAGTGAATCTCGAAAAGAATTGCCTCCGTCAAGAGGTAGAAGATCAATTCTTCCAGGGCGAGCGATGCAAGAGAAGTGCGTCAAGTTCAAGGATCCTCCTCCGACGGTTGCTCCTCAAGTAGAGTATGTCATTCTTGTTCCTCAGTACGACTCTGATAAGTCAGTTAACTACAGTTTACAAGTTGAGACAATATGGTGTGCATTTTGGTCTGATGCTGAACAAAGATGGACAAATGAAGGATGCAAGGTGAAAAAAAAACTTTATATAGAATGAAATAAGTCAGTAACTACATTAAAGGACGAAGAATTTACTTTTCAGGCCATTTAACGGAAGTTGTTGAATATTGGTTTTAAGCTTTGGTGTGTTTTGGAGATGAAAAATAACTTTATACTCACTTACTGTACTCAGTAAGTCAATCTAATCCTTTTCAAGATAGCACTTGTAAGCAGTGGGTGTTCTCCAGAGCCAAGATACATGGGCAATATTACTGGCAGAAAAAAAATATCATCATCAGCTACAACGGTTATTTTTTTTTTATACAAGCGAATAAGTAGAGACAGAAACCCAAATAACTATATATCTAAACCATCTATTAGCAATTTTCCGCTGAAACTACTATGGGAGAAGTCTTGATTTTACTATCGCGTTTTCTAAGATACGAAAGCTTTAATTTGCCGAGAATAGAGAACTCGAGCCAATTTTCCCAGAGCAGTGAATCGTTTTCAGAAATTCTTGTGGCAATGTCGGTGTTTACAGACTTAATAGGAGTAGGAGGTGAGCAATTTAACTCATTTAGCTTAATGCAGAAAATCGTTTCATGGAAGCCGGGTATATGAGCTCAGTATATAACCCGAATCAAGAGCACTTCACACCAACAGTTGTTTTCCTTTCGGACCTGATGTAATTTACAATTAGAACAGTAAACTGATCGCCATTAATGCACGGACTAATTTTTAGGTTAGCCGAGAATCAAACCATTCATCTC